TATTTTGTTGATTAAAAAATACAATTTAAATCATTATTTCTTGTCTAGTCATATTGGAATATATATATATATATATATATATATATTTATGATAACAGAATAAGTATATTCAAAAAAGGAAGCCAAAGAACTAGAACATAAACCGGAAAAAGATATTCTACTTTTCAAAAGATTATATTCCCACTAAACTAAAGGACTGGATAATATATATTGAAGATCTTAATTTTTTGTCTGGGAATATCACCCGTACTTCGCTCACTTTGTAGATTGAAAAATACAACTCAAATTATTATTTCATGTTTACTCGTATCAGAATAAGTTTTTTTTTTTTTCTTCTTTTAATCATAACAGGATAAGTATTAATAATTGAAGCCAAAGAACTGGAATATAATATAAACTAGAAAAAGGTATTCTACTTCTACTTTTTCAGAAGATAATATTCCAACTAAAGGACTTGATGAATATGCCCTCGAACTTATCATGTTGATGCAAATCAGCTTCTATGCTTTTTTATGTTTTTGGACGGTTATTGAGCCATGCTAGGAAAATACCATGTGGATGATGGTTTAATGAGGCTAACGAATCGGTGGACAGACGGCTAATGGTATCTATTACATAAGGGTGTATTTGACTCAAACTACAAAGAGGGTGATTTGCTTCATAGGAAAAGTTTAGGGACTAATTTGCCTCAACATCAAAAGTTATTGTTTCTGGATTTGATATATTGGCCTTTGTTTAACTGTTTATGTATACTTGTTGGAACTTACATATGTTAATAAAAAAATAAAATAATATATTTTATAAATTGAATTTATTGTCTAATTAAGGATTTGGTCAAACTAGTCGTTGTAGATTAATTGGCTTATTTAAGGGCACATTATTTTATAATAATTACCCAATTTAAGTTATTCCTATTATTAATTTACAAATGGAAGTTACATGATCATAAGTCCTATAAATAGAACATGTGTTTTTGCTAAAAAAAGTTTGTTCCTCCACATTCTTCTATCTTTCTTATCTTGTTTTATCTTCTAAATATTCCTGAGTAAAGAAAGATGTTTTTGAGTTAAATGACTCTATGGATAGTGCATATTCATAGAATGTTATTATAAAACTGTAGCATCCTTAGGGCAAAATGCTAAATATATCTTTGCTGTATCGATTGATCTATTCTCCGCAAAGACATGAATTGCCTTAAAGTAAATATGTTTTTCACACCTATTTTGGTGATATTTTCTTATCGATATTTCTTGATAAATTTACTAATTATTATTTTATTTGATCTTGTAACCGAGGCATAACAATGATATGATGTGGAGATACAGGAAAGTGTTCAAGAAACAACAATTTTAAGGCGATTCAATTTGTCTAACTCTTTTTGGAGCTAAAGGTATGTTTCCTCTAGATTAATCATACTTGAAAGATATTGAGATCACAAATGGCTAAAATAATAAAAATAAAAAAACGAGGGGAAAGCTTGGCATGTGAAATTGTTATACCATGATGCTAGCTATGGTCCTTTAAGGAGTTGTGTTTGTTGCTAGCAAATTTCAACATGAATGTGATTACTACTTGGGTGTTTTGACATGGTTGTTTTTACTAATGAATGGCTATTGTTACCCTTAGCAATTTATTTCTAGTGGTAAAAAAAAATTTAAAAAAAAAACTTACCATTCATGATAGTTAACTTTACCTAGCATTCATGTCTAGTCTTAATGACATTATGATTTACTTTCAACTGTTACAAATGAATGTGGTTTTCTTGTGCAAATATATGTGTGATAATTTGATAGCTTAATGTTACTAGCCGTTGATATATATGATTAATGCTATATTTGTATATAGTTAATTTGTGATTATTATTAATCATGTTATTAAGTTCTTTGATGCAATAGGTGAAAGCTTTTGAGAACCAAAGTGGAAAAGGCTTTGGGTTGATATATTCCGGAAATGTAAGTTAAATTTGTTAAGCTTACGTGACCAAGGAGCTGTTTGTGACAATAAAATGTGAGATGAGCTAATATGCTCTTATGAACTTTTGTGAGTAAATGAGTTTCTTCATGAACTCAATTATTTGAGAATTGTGATAATCACATATTTGGGATGCTCCCAATGTAGGGGATTGTGATACTCCTATATATTAGTTTTGGTGATGAAACTAATTGTGCTTCATTGAAATTTTGCATAGCATTCCTATTATACAATAAGGTATAATGGTGCTTAACAAAGTAAATGTGATACGCACTTCTATTATACAATTATGGTATAATGGTGTATGATAAAAAAGAATAAGGCACTTTACTCAAATAGAAGGGATATGCTATCATGAATATTCCTATTGTACAACAAGTTATAATGGTGTTTGAGCTAAAAATTCTTAAATACATCTCTCTACATGTATGGAAAGAAAATCGTGGTTCATTAACTCGATTTGATATCAAAATTGTGGTGCCATGAATTGAGAATTTGAGAAATGTGAATGTGAATATTATGAGCTAGTAGACATGTGGGTTGATGTGAAAAGAAAAAGTGAGAAAAAGAATGAGTTGATTCTCTTCATTACCCACCATATCACCAACTAGGCCTTTGGCAAAGAGAAATGTTGGAGGAAAATCTATGATCATAGTCCAAGGTCTAGTGCTCATCAAGGGGAATGGGATTCAAGTCCAATTATATAGAACTTCCTATGAGGATACCCAACTTGAATTATAAGAATTGGGTTTCGACTGGGAAAAACAAATCATAGAAAAGTCTTTGTTAAAAGATGCATCAATATTTAATGGAAAAAATCTCCAGTCCCATTCCTAAGGTGAGAATGCATCTATCCCATAACGAATTAAGGGTTGAGTTATATACTCTTAATGAAATTTGTAGCTCAATGAGTGGGGTGTCTTAGTTATGGGAGCATCCTAGACAAATTTCACCTACGTGGGTGTCGAAGTAAGATCACTACTATGAAAATTGGATGGATAATTTTCTATATCATCCATAAAAACCGAGATCATGCGTAAGGCCATAATGTGCCAGCTATGAGAAAAACTCAACATTCGAATTGTTATATGTGTGATATGATTCTTGTATCTTCCAATAGAGTCATAGTTTCACTATTGACTTTGGATTGAGAGTTATTGACTCATTAAGTAAAGGTTCAAGATTTAGTTACCTTTATCATGCATAATAATCCATCTTTGTCCAAAAGAAAAGTTTATTTTTTATTAAAATAGTGGAGGAATTGTTGGAACTTAAATATTTTAATAAAAAAAAAATAATATATTTTATAAATTGAATTTATTGTCTCATTAAGGATTTGGTCAAACTAGCCATTGTAAGTTATTTACCTTACTTAAGGGCACATTATTTCATAATATTTATCAAATGTATTCCTATTATTAATCTACAAATGGGAGTTATATGACCATGAGCCCTATAAATAGGATATGTGTTTTTACTCAAAGAAGTGTTTTCCTCCACATTCTTCTATCCTTCTTACCTTATTTTATTTTCTAAATATTCTTGGGTAAATAAGGATGTTTTTGAGTTAGGTGCTTTTATGGATAATGCAGATTGATAGAGTGTTATTATAAAACAATAGCATCTTGAGGGCGACATACTAATGATATCTTTTATGTATCAGTTGATCTATTCTCTGCAGAGACATGAATCCCTTTAATGTAAGTAAGTTTTTCACTCCTATTTTGGTGATATTTTTTTTTTTATATTTCTTGATAAATTCACTAATTATTATTTTATTTGATCTTGTAACCAAGGCACAACAATGACATAATGTGGAGATGAAGGAGAGTGTTTGAGGAACAACATGCTTTTCTCAAAAAAAAAAAAAGGAAGTTTATGTGTACATATCATTCAACAAACGTCATAGATTATGGTCATAATTATGGTGTCCCACACCGACACAATCCCTAAAGTATAAAATTCTTTTGTCCAAGATTCTAATGCTTTTAAAAATTCCAATTCCAATTCCAGAGATTATTCGGGGAGCTGGAAAGAAAAAAAGATTCTTTTGGAGCAATATAAAATTAAATTTTATTGACACTATTTAGGCTGGGCTTAATTTAGAATCTTAGATAGTCATGTACCAAGGTTTCCCCCCCCC